TTTAAGGGTTAAACAGAGGCTACAGTTAAGGAATTGCGCCCAGTAAATCCTCCTCGGCCAGGATACGAACCCATGACATAGCGCTCGCGGAACGCCAGGCGAGTGTCTTACCACTACACCACAGAGACTACACCACGGTTCTTCTCTTTATTGGATGCATTATGATGTTCTGGAGTTGTACTGGCCAGCAGACAACCCTTTTGTTTTCACTGGGGGTTTGATGCAGTTTCTGTCGGTCCAGCTTGTTTCAGTGGTGTGAGGCTTCATCAGTGTTACAGGTGTTTGTGGGGAAGGGGCCTGCTTCCTTTGTGCTTCTCAGTGTCTGCCTGTTTGCTTCCATTCTCCTAAGGTATGTTGGGATATTTCATCTCCATGTTCAGGTTAATCAGTTGTCGGCTATGCTGGTTGCTGAAAACCTTTGCACTCGTTTGCACCTGGGTGTTGTCCTGTGCTTCTTGAACCTTCTGGAGCTGCATTTGGATTGGCTCCCAGCGGACGTTGGGGCTCTCAGCAGTGCTTCTCTTGCTGGGGTTTTGGTTTCCACTGTGGCACTGTGGCTTCGATGGTGCTGCAGGTTTTCCTGGGGGGCGACCTTGAGCACCTCAATGAGTGCTTGTTTGCTCCTGCCCTTTCCCGGGATGTTGGTGTCGTTCAGCTCCATGTGCAGGTTCCCTCCCTTTCGACGGCGCAGGTCGCTGAGGATTTGCGCGCCCAAGGCCTTTTGGCTTTGACCTTATGTTTCTTTTCCCTCCTGGAACTGTCATCGGACTGGCTCACGAAGGATGTGGGGGTGCTTGGGGCCGTTCCTGGTTCAGGTGCCTTGGCCTTGGCTGCTCGCTCGTTAGCTACCTTGCTGAAGCTTTTCGCGCCGATCTTGCTGGATGCGGTTGCTCTGTTTTATGCTTCCTGGCTCGCATGTCCGTAGACGTTGCTTGCTTCTTCTGTGGAATCTGCTTGGGCCTTGGCTCTGAGGATGTCTTTGCCTTTTTGTCCTCTCTTGTTTGAGGCTTCCGCCGTTGTGCAGTATTTTCAGGCTGCTTCGGCTTCTTGCTGTCCTATGTCGGACTTGCTGGTTCTCCGGGGGTCCTGTGGGCCTTCCCAGAAGGGTCGTGCCAAGGCTCCTCTCGTCGTGGTAGGCCACTGGTGTCTGGTTCAGGTTCGGCCCCTCCTTCGGACCCAGCCTTTGTCTGGTCGACGCGGTGTTCGCTCTGTGCGAGGTTCTGGGTCTCGTACTGGACGCTGGCCCTTTTGCGATTCGCCCCATTGACGGGGCGATGGGGGGGGACTTGCACTATTCGCCCACGCCTAGTCCCATGATTCGTGGGCGTTTTGGTTTGTTTCGTGCTGTCTCTGGTGGCGTTGGGTGGCCCTGCCCCCTTCGGGGGGTTAGGGGCAGGCTTCTTCCCCTGCGCTCTGTTGGATCATCTTGGAGTGGGTTCGCTTGGGCATGGTTGAAACGACAACGTCCCTCAGATGGGTTTCCCGTCTGTTTCCGGTCCCGAAACAGGACTGTGCGGACCTGCGGTTTATTCTGGACTTGTCCCGTCTGAACCCTTGGGTTCATTGCCCCTCCTTTCAGATGACTGCTATCCCAGATTTGGCTCCTGTTTGAGCCGGGTGCTTGGATGGTGTTCCTGGACCTTCGGGACGCTTATTGGTACATCCCAATTCATCTGGGGTTCAGGGACTGGCTCGGTTTTGTTGTGGGGCTTTGTGCTTACTGCTTTCGTTGTCTCCCGTTCGGGTTGAATCTGGCACCTCGCGTGTTCACACCCCTTACGCGGGTCGTGGTGGCCCGTCTGCGTCTGCTAGGTGTTCGGGTGTTGGCCTACCTCGATTACTGGCTGGTTTGGGCTCCCAGCTGGTCCTCTTGTCTGCTGACCAGGGATTTGGTTCTTTCTCAGCTTGCAGGGTTCGGGTTCTTGGTGAACTGGAGGAAGTCCCATCTGGTTCCCTCCCAGGTTCGGACCTGCCTGGGTCATGTGTGGAACTCTCGGACCGCTTCCTTGTCTCTTCCTCCGGAGTCTCTCCTGCAGCTGCGGTCCTGTATGCGCCTGTTTCTAGGAGGCTCCCGGGTCACCCGGCGGTTGCTCGAGGGTCTGTGCTGGAGCCTGAACTTTGCGATGCTGGTCTACCCGCCAGGTCGGGTTTGGCTTCGTCGGCTGTTCTGGTTCCTTTGGGGACATCCCTTCCGCCTATCTCGTGATCGCTGGGTTCAGACCTCGGGGGGCTTTGCGTCGGTTGCTGCATCGCTGGCTTCCTCTTCGAGTTTTTCGGGGTTCAGTGCCTTGGCGCCTACCTGAACCCTCGCTCGATGTGTTCACAGACGCGTCATCTCTCGGCTGGGGCTTTGTGACCAGTTCTCACCAGGCTGGCCAGGGATGGTGGGGTCCGTCCTTCCGTTGAGCCCACAGCACTGTGTGGGAGTACGCGGCAGTGTGGTTTGCTCTTCGGAGGCTTCGAGTCGCCCACGGGTTGACAATCCGGCTCCATTTGGACTGCTCCCCAACGGTTCATTGCCTGAACCGGGGAGGTTCGATGTGGTCCTTGGCTCTTTGGTGCTGGTCGCGTCATGTGACTCGTCTGCTGAGTTTTCGGGGTTTGGCTCTCCTGGCAGTTCATGTGCGGGGAGTATCGACGTCCTGGTGGACGGCCTGTCCCGTTTCATTCCCCTCTCCACGGAATGGACGGTCGACGACGACTCGTTTTGTTAGCTCTGCCAGACTTTTGTGCGCTCTGAGGTGAACCTCTTCGCGCCGGCGTGGTCACGGCGCCTTTCCCAGTATTTGGCGCCCTTCCCTGATTGCGAGGCAGTTGGGGTCGATGCCTTTCGGCAGGACTGGTCGAGGTGAGGGTTCCTTTACCTCTTTCCCCCGGTTCCGCTGTTGCTCCAGGTCCTGACTCGCTTGGAGACCCACCAGGGGTGAGAGTAGTCCTCTTGGCCCCATGGTGGCCGCCCCAGCCATGGTTTCAGGCGCTACTTGCATGGTGTCCGAACCCGGAGATTTTCCCGCGGCTCCGACTCTTCCAACAGATCGCCCCAATGCGTCACATGGCTGGTTCGATCTTCTCCTCGAATCTTCGAGTATGGTCTTTTTGACTCGTGTTTATCATCATCTCTACGGTGGTCAGGTGGCTTCCTTGTTAGTGTTCCACCTGAGGGCTTCTTCTTGGCGGCGGTATGAAGTCTTCTGACGGTTCTTCTGTTTCTTTTTGCGTCTTTGTCGCTGTGCTTCTCTTTCTGTTAGGGTGGTTTTGCCCTTTCTCTCTTGGTTGTTCCAGGACCGTCACCTTATGACTAACACTGTCGCCTCGTCTCGTGCAGCACTGGTGGAGCCGCTTCAGCTTGCTTTCGGTATTGATGTTACTTCTGCACCGTTACGCAAGCTGTCTCGGACTTTGTTTCACCTCCGGCCTGCTCATGCACCGCCTGAGCCGTCCTGGTCATTGGACAGAGTGCTCTCTTTTCTTTCTTCTCCTCGGTTTGTTGTGGCCCCCTTCAGTTCCAGATTGTTTCTCCAAGGCTCTTTTTCTGTTGGCATTAGCTTCTGGGGGTCGGGTTAGTGAGCTTCATGCTCTCCTCCGGCGTAGGGGTTTCTGCTCCTTCGGTCAGGGCGATCGGTTTGTTCGTCTGCAGCCTTCTCCTTCTTTTCTGGCGAGGAATGAGACTGCTGCTTTCCGGAGGGGCCCCCCCCTGGGTTGTTGATGCTTGGTTGGTTAGGCTGGGGGTGCATCATGTTTTGTGTCTGGTTGCGGCTCTCCACCGTTATTTGCAAGTCACGGCCTCTACGTCCGTGGACGTGCTTTGGGTTGATCCGGTTTCCCTCCTTCCCTGTTCGCGGATGCTGGTCTTCCAGGTCGTCCTGGAAGACCCGCACCTGGACCTGCACCTGGACCCGCACCTGGAAGACCCTGCAGGTCTTCCAGGTCGTCCGCAGGGTTATTAAGGCTAGCCAGCCTGCGGTCTATTCCCGTGCCCATGATGTTCGCAAGTTCGCGGCTCTTCCCGCTGTCTTTGGAAATATGTTTTGGACTGACATTCGGCCGCGGGGATTTTGGCGGTCAAACAAGGTCCTGGCTGCTTGTTACCTTGTTAATGTCCCTGGGTCCAATCAGGCCTGTGTCGTTTTAGGTCGGCGGATGCAGCCAGTTGTCTCGACTTCGAGTTAAGGTGTGAACGGCAACCTCCTCCCGGGTAAGTCCCTATTTTTTCCTCTGCGGGTAGTTAGCTCTGGGGAGCCATAGGGCCCCCACTCCCCAGAAAACCAGCGTTGAATGTAATGAAACGCCATTTTCTGGGTGAGACCTGGAGGCTCCCCGGCACCTTCCTCTTTTTGTGACACCATTCCCTGATTGCGAGGCTCTCGCAGATAATGCCTTTTGGATGGCCTGGTTGAGGTGGAGGTTTCTGTACCTCTTCTTCCCAGTCCAGCTCTTGCTCCTAGAGCAAGCTTTGGAGTCTTACATGAGGAAGGGGAGGAGGGTAACCCTTCTGGCTCCCTAGTAACCAGCCCAGCCTTGGTTTCAGGTGCTGCTTGTTTGGTGTCCAAACTTGGCTGTTTTCCCGTGCTTCCACCTCTTTCAGAACATTGGTCCAGTGGTGTACCTTGCTGGATTCACCTTCTCCGATCTTCGTGTCTGGAGTTTGATGTCTGTTCCCTGTTGCCGGAAAAGAAGATTGCAGAATTTCTTTTGTTAGTGTCCTGTGTGAAAGTGACACCTGCGGTGTTATGTGCTGTACATATCTGTATATGTGGTTAAAAAGTACATGTGTGATGGTTTTGTTTGGTGTTATTTACCCGCATTCTTGTTGGATTGACTATTACTGCCAGTTCTTAATAACTTTCCTATGACTCGGGATTGGATCTGGTAAGAAGAGGCACTAAGGCCCCATATAAAGTTGTACATGAAAATAATTTGGTTACAGGCTAAGTTAAGCCGTATCATTTTATTATAGTGAAGCCGTAATATTAACATCTGTTAATATTTTTTTTTTTCAGAAGCAAGTATGTGGTTGCAAGAATCCATATGAATATTTAACCATGATGCCATGCTCACCTGAGTTTCTCTTGAAAAGGGTAGAGGAAGTAAATACAAACCTCAAGGCACTCTATCCCAATCTGTATGTTCTTTGGGGTTCTTTGTATCCAATTGAGTTTTTGTCATATAACAATAGTTTAGCTTTAAGTAAGCGTCTTGAGATGCATGATTGCAATTTAAATATGTTTTCTTATGTGCAGAGTATAAAAGCTCATAATAGTATATATAATGAATTTAATAAAAAATTTGTTAAATTCATGAAAATACATAATATTCCATTTATTGATTTGAAAAATTATTTAAGATCTAAGAGAGTAAGAGCTCTTAAATCTTTCACAAGTATTTTATGTGATGGTGTTCATGTGAAAACTAATTTTACAGCCAATTCTTCAGATAAAATAAGGAGGAGGATAATTTCATATTTTATTCAAATTGAGAATATAGAGAGTAAGAATGATTGATTGTGAGGCTGTAGGTATTAGATTCTTAAAAGTACTAAAGTGTTAGCACTTTGGCTCCTTGATGATGCCTTATGTTGCATAAAACCAAAACATGCGAGAGTGAGTGATGACGCAAACGGTGTCATTAACTTAAAAATTTGTAAATAATAAATTTATTATCCGAATAATATGGGACTTGTTTTAAAATGCGCACCAATGTCTTCCCGTTCCAAATTTGATACCAAACTGAACGACATAGCACAAAAAATTGAGGTGGGAAAGCTGAAAAAGAGTATATAAACATTAGAGTGTGGTGGTGAGCTCATGGGTAATGCTTGGCCTACCTTGTGGTGCCCAGCAGGCTGCCCGTCGTACCAGCGAAAGTGTTAAAATGTTACTTAGGTGGATTTTTAAAACATTGTACACAGTATATTTAACCATTGTATATATTTAAACATGGTATTTATTTCAGCATTGTATATATGTATAGTATTTTATGTTCATTATTTATGCTTGTTGCTTTCATTAGAAACCCATGAAAAACTTAATTACTGTAATTCATAAGGAATGTATAAAAATTTTGTTTATGCAAATAATTTATATTTTTGTTATTTTCTTCTGTGTAATAAGGTAAAAATATTATACACTGTAAACACTTCTATATATTTGCTAGCTTTAAAATCCTCAATAGGGCCAGTCATAATTGTATGCATTTTATTTATTCTTATATTTTATTACAACAAATGTTGTATAAGTAAAGATTGGTCCTTACATAGTTTTGACTCGATTGAACAACCAAAAAATGCCTGTGTTCTTATTTTATACCATTGTATTGCTTTGTGCAGAGTATATTTTGGCAAGTCAATATACCATACTGTACTTGCGTCGATCATCCTTAATGGCTAGCATCCATAATAGCTTTTGTACTCTTAATGGCTAGCACCCTAATGGCTAGCACCCTAATGGCTAGCACCCATAATGGCTAGCACCCATAATGGCCAGCATAATGACTGGCCATTATGGGTGCTAGCCATTAGGTTACACTAGTGCTAACCATTATGGGTGCACCCATAATGGTTAGCACTCTTAATGGCTAGCACCCCTAAATGGCTAGCACCCATAATGGCTGGCACTCTTAATGGCTAGCACTCATAATGGTTAGCACTCATAATGGCTAGCACTCATAATGGCTGGCACTCTTAATGGCTAGCACTCATAATGGCTGGCACTCATAATGGCTAGCACTCATAATGGCTAGCACTCATAATGGCTAGCACTCATAATGGCTAGCACTCATAATGGCTGGCACTCTTAATGGCTGGCACTCTTAATGGCTGGCACTCATAATGGCTAGCACTCATAATGGCCAACACTCATAATGGCTAGCACTCATAATGGCTAGCACTCTTAATGGCTAGCACTCTTAATGGCTAGCACTCTTAATGGCTAGCACTCTTAATGGCTAGCACTCTTAATGGCTAGCACTCTTAATGGCTAGCACTCTTAATGGCTAGCACTCATAATGGCTAGCACTCTTAATGGCTAGCACTCATAATGGCTAGCACTCATAATGGCTAGCACTCTTAATGGCTAGCACTCATAATGGCTAGCACTCTTAATGGCTAGCACTCATAATGGCTAGCACCCATAATGGCTAACACTCTTAATGGCTAGCACTCTTAATGGCTAGCACCCATAATGGCTAGCACCCATAATGGCTAGCACCCATAATGGCTAGCACCCCTAAATGGCTAGCACTCTTAATGGCTAGCATCCATAATGGCTAGCACCCATAATGGCTAGCACCCATAATGGCTAGCACCCATAATGGCTAGCACCCATAATGGCTAGCACCCCTAAATGGCTAGCACTCTTAGTGTAAGTGACTGCTTATCATCCTTAATTGCTCTCAACTCTTTAAGACATAACTGTAACATGCTTGTGTCCGAAGCTAGACACAATTACAACAAAATTATTAAGGATGGTAACAGAGTCCATTTCATGTGGTCTCCATCTCATGTTGGCCTCCGAATGAATGATAGAGGTGATAAGTTAGCCAAAGAATCTGCCTTTAAAGGAGACGTTGAGTGTAACCTTGGATTGTCAATGAGCAATCTGAGAGCAGCAGTACACCGAGAACTTCAACAAGATCTTGTAGATCTGAGGCAAAGTGAAATCGACACCAGTAATTCCATCTATCATCATACTATCATGCAAGAGGAGCCACACATCTATGGATCATCCAATAAAATCAGCAGACTTCTAGATGCTACTACTGCTCGGCTTAGACTCGGTTACAAGTATCTCTGGGAATTCTCATTATCTGCTGATGTAGACCTGACCAAATGTAAACTGTGTCAACAAAATTATTCGCACACCCTCCGTCACTATGTGATGGAGTGCGAAAAGATACGTGAATTCAGAGACAATTCTATAACCAATGTACCAACAATGTGTCAATATTTCATCCAAAATGATCTGCTACCAGAAATTTTAGCCAAATATCCTCAGTTTGCTAACTGTAGGTAGTAACTAAGAGTGATTGTAACCTATCCACTGCTGCCAACTGGATGGGGGGCGGTGTGCAGGACAAACATATCAATTGTGACACTAGCTCTCCACATATGTCAGTTGCTTAATTTAGAAACTGTACTTATGATCGATCTCGAACCCATTGTTGATGTAATGACTTATACTGAATTTTGTAACTAGCTCATCTAGATTGTAACTTGCCTAGCTAAATGAATTGTGGGGTTCAGTTCCTGAGCCCATTATGTGCCTCTGTAACCCTTTCCACTACCGCCCGCAAGATGGGTATGGGGTGCATAATAAATGAACTTAACTAAACTAACTCTTAATGGCTAGCACCCATAATGGCTAGCACTCTTAATGGCTAGCGCACTTAATGGCTAGCACTCTTAATGGCTAGCATCCATAATGGCTAGCACTCTTAATGGCTAGCACTCTTAATGGCTAGCATCCATAATGGCTAGCACTCTTAATGGCTAGCACTCTTAATGGCTAGCACCCCTAAATGGCTAGCACTCATAATGGCTAGCTAGCACCCATAAAGGCTAGCACCCCTAAATGGCTCTTGGAATGCCTAGCTGTTATTCAGTGTCGGTCCACACTTCAACACACAATGTTCCCATAGTCACTGCCTTGTCATGGGTGTGGAAGGTGGGGTAAAAAGTTTACATTACTAATCTAGAATAATCGTGTGTGGTTTGTAAAGCACCTTTACCACCCAAAGGTCTGGAGCTTGATCAAATGTGGGCATTTTTTGTGTGTATATGAATGATACTCTGTAATAGTGAAGTATAGAACCTCGAAATAAAGAGGACTTCAATTGGTATACCATGACTTGCTCCATGAGGTAGTAGGCAATGAACAGTCCTAGGACAACCCCAGACCAGTTTACACACCTATCACATAACACCAACATGGAGAACCTGAATCAATGGACACAGCCATATTCTATCGAGAACTTAGAACATAATGAGAGCACTGAAACTTTTGTTAGAAAATACTGTACTGTGAACCCAATTATGCTACATTTGATAATTTTGAGTCTTATGTCTCACAGACAAAGAAATCAGAGAAATCATCTCTGAGCTCAGAGGATAGAGTCAGAAACATTATTCAGGCCTAATACTGTACTGGGTTCATGTATTTAAATGTGACAAATGTGTCCACTCTGAACAGCCAGCTTCTCAGTAACCCCATTGCTAAGTCAGCTGGCCCTAAAATCATAATCAGGCACGTTAGAATGTGTAGAGTAGGTGGAAGACCAGTGGAACGGGAGGATAGATGAAAAATTATAGAATCTATAAACAAGCGGTGCTATAATAAAATTATAGAACTTTCTGCTGTCTGGCCTGTCACTGCCTGCTGGGACATAATCAGATCTTCTTTCTCAAGATACGGCACAGTAAAAATGCGTATAATCATTTTGCGTTTCTTTATTTATTTTTGGAGATATGACTGATTTTAATGTCAGCAGTTTTGCAAATCAGTTCATTGGAGTGTACTGCTGGTGCAGAAAAAGTGTGTAAATAATAGAGTATGTCTGTACCAATTTAAGGATGGTTATGAACATTTCAACATTTCTCATGTATTATTAAAAATAAACATTATAGAAAAAGATTGAAATGTATGCACATAATTGATCTTTATAGCTATAAAAAAGAGCTAGGACAAATAAGAGAGAGGGGAGGGGGTCAACATAAGAGAGAGAGGGGGGGGTCAATGTGAGAATGAGGGAGGTCAACATGAGAGAAGGGAGTCAATATGAGAGAGAGGGGAGCCAACATGAGTGAGGGGGGTCAACATGAGGGATCAAGAGAGTGGGGGATCAACATGAGAGAGGGGGATCAACATGAGAGAGGGGGGTCAACTTGAGAGGGGATCAACATGAGAGAGGGGAGAGAGGGGGATCAACTTGAGAGAGGGGGGTCAACTTGAGAGAGAGGAGGGTCAACTTGAGAGAGAGGAGGGTCAACTTGAGAGAGAGGGGGCAGAGTTGTTGGTCTTCTGTTATTGGTAACAAACTGCGTACTCTTAAGAGTCGTGTGTCCCAGTGGCCTTCCTCCTACCACCATAACCGGCGGTGGGAAACGACTCTGGCTAGGTTACGTATTAGCCATACTCGTTTAACTCACACTCACTTAATGGTGCACCACCCTGCTCCTTATTGTCCAAATTGCATTTTCCCTCTTACGGTCATGCACATCCTTGTTGAATGTCTTGATTTCCAGGATGAACATGTGTCTTGTTTTCAGACCGTCCCTTGCGGTCAATTGTCCCTCGGTAGAATTCTTGGTGAATCGAATACTTTTGATATCATTCGCTTTATGCGTTTCTCTTCTCGTATTGGCATCCTTGGTGATATTTAGCGCCCTCGATTACTCTGCACATTTGGTGGTGCTACATAGCCTTACCGGTTTGGTGTCTTCTTTTGATAATTACTTACTTCAACTTGAGGGAGGGGGGTTGTCAACTTGAGAGAGAGGGGGGTCAACATGAGAGAGAGGGGGAGTCAACTTGAGAGAGAGGGGGAGTCAACATGTGAGAGAGGGGGAGTCAACATGAGAGAGAGGGGAGTCAACATGAGAGAGGGGGGTCAACATGAGAGAGAGGGGGAGTCAACTTGAGAGAGAGGGGGAGTCAACATGAGAGAGAGGGGGAGTCAACTTGAGAGAGAGGGGGAGTCAACATGAGAGAGAGGGGGAGTCAACTTGAGAGAGAGGGGGAGTCAACTTGAGAGAGAGGGGGAGTCAACTTGAGAGAGAGGGGGAGTCAACATGAGAGAGAGGGGGAGTCAACTTGAGAGAGAGGGGGAGTCAACATGAGAGAGAGGGGGAGTCAACTTGAGAGAGAGGGGGAGTCAACTTGAGAGAGAGGGGGAGTCAACTTGAGAGAGAGGGGGAGTCAACTTGAGAGAGAGGGGGAGTCAACTTGAGAGAGAGGGGGAGTCAACTTGAGAGAGAGGGGGAGTCAACATGAGAGAGGAGGGGTCAACATGAGAGAGGGGGGTCAACATGAGAGAGAGGGGGGGTCAACATGAGAGAGAGGGGGGTCAACATGAGAGAGAGGGGGGGGGTCAACATGAGAGAGAGGGGGAGTCAACATGAGAGAGAGGGGGGTCAACATGAGAGAGGGGGAGTCAACATGAGAGAGAGGGGGGGTCAACATGAGAGAGGAGGGGTCAACATGAGAGAGAGGGGGAGTCGACATGAGAGAGAGGGGGAGTCAACATGAGAGAGGGGGAGTCAACATGAGAGAGAGGGGGAGTCAACATGAGAGAGGGGGGTCAACATGAGAGAGAGAGGGGGAGTCAACATGAGAGAGAGGGGGAGTCAACATGAGAGAGAGGGGGAGTCAATATGAGAGATGAGAGAGGGGGGGTCAACATGAGAGAGAGGGGGGTCAACATGAGAGAGAGGGGGAGTCAACATGAGAGAAGGGGGTCAACATGAGAGAGGAGGGGTCAACATGAGAGAGAGGGGGGTCAACATGAGAGAGAGGGGGGTCAACATGAGAGAGAGGGGGAGTCAACATGAGAGAGAGGGGGAGTCAACATGAGAGAGAGGGGGAGTCAATATGAGAGATGAGAGAGGGGGGGTCAACATGAGAGAGAGGGGGGTCAACATGAGAGAGAGGGGGAGTCAACATGAGAGAAGGGGGTCAACATGAGAGAGGAGGGGTCAACATGAGAGAGGGGGGGGGTCAACATGAGAGAGAGGGGGAGTCAACATGAGAGAGAGGGGGAGTCAACATGAGAGAGGGGGGTCAACATGGGAGAGGAGGGGTCAACATGAGAGAGAGGGGGAGTCAACATGAGAGAGAGGGGGTGTCAACATGAGAGAGGGGGAGTCAACATGAGAGAGAGGGGGGTCAACATGAGAGAGTCAACATGAGAGAGAGGGGGAGTCAACATGAGAGAGAGGGGGGTCAACATGAGAGAGGGGGGGTCAACATGAGAGAGGGGGGTCAACATGAGAGAGGGGGGTCAACATGAGAGAGAGGGGGGGTCAACATGAGAGAGGGGGGTCAACATGTCAACATGAGAGAGGGGGGGTCAACATGAGAGAGAGAGGGGGGTCAACATGAGAGAGAGGACGGTCAACATGAGAGAGGGGGGTCAACATGAGAGAGGGGGGTCAACATGAGAGAGGGGGGGTCAACATGAGAGGGGGGGGGTCAACTTGAGAGAGGGGGGTCAACATGAGAGAGGGGGGTCAACATGAGAGGGGGGTCAACATGAGAGAGAGGGGGGTCAACATGAGAGAGGGGGGTCAACATGAGAGAGAGAGGGGGGTCAACATGAGAGAGGAGGGGTCAACATGAGAGAGGGGGGTCAACATGAGAGAGGGGGGTCAACATGAGAGAGGGGGGTCAACATGAGAGAGGGGGGGTTCAACATGAGAGAGGGGGGGTCAACATGAGAGAGAGGGGGGTCAACATGAGAGAGGGGGGTCAACATGAGAGAGAGAGGGGGGGTCAACATGAGAGAGGGGGGGTCAACATGAGAGAGGGGGGTCAACATGAGAGAGGGGGGTCAGCATGAGAGAGATGGGGGTCAACTTGAGAGAGAGTGGGGTCAACTTGAGACGGGGTCAACATGAGAGAGAGGGGGAGTCAACTTGAGAGAGGGGGGGTCAACATGAGAGAGAGTGGGGTCAGCATGAGAGAGAGTGGGGTCAGCATGAGAGAGAGGGGGGGTCAACTTGAGAGAGAGGGGGAGTCAACATGAGAGAGAGGGGGAGAGAGAGAGGGGGAGTCAACATGAGAGAGAGGGGGGTTAACATGAGTTAATTCTTCAGTAAGGCTGATATATTTAATATAATTAAGATACTCTTTCTAATGAGCATATTGAGTAATGAACATAGTACTGTGCTGGTGGTGACGTGTACTGTGAGGTGCACTCAGCACTCCACCTCTGCTGATAATACTGGATTCATGTTGGTGCTTGAAGCGGTAGGCCGCCTGGTGTTACCGCTGCCTGCTTTTTCCTGTGATCAGTGGCCATAATACCTTACTAATGAGGGTTGTTAGTGAGGCGGCGCGTGTGAGGGAGGGGAGCTGGGCGCCGCCTCCACCACTCTCTCACCACCTGTTGTGTGAGGCGCTCCACCGTCTCCCTGCACCTCTCCCCTCTACTGCTCTCAGGTACCCTTGTGGTGTTGGTGTAGTGCTGCCGTGGTGTAGTGTTGCTGTGGTGTTGGTGTAGTGCTGCCGTGGTGTAGTGTTGCTGTGGTGTTGGTGTAGTGCTGCCGTGGTGTAGTGTTGCTGTGGTGTTGGTGTAGTGCTGCCGTGGTGTAGTGTTGCTGTGGTGTTGGTGTAGTGCTGCCGTGGTGTAGTGTTGCTGTGGTGTTGGTGTAGTGCTGCCGTGGTGTAGTGTTGCTGTGGTGTTGGTGTAGTGCTGCCGTGGTGTAGTGTTGCTGTGTTGCAGTGGTGTAGTGTTGCTGTGGTGTTGGTGTAGTGCTGCCGTGGTGTAGTGTTGCTGTGGTGTTGGTGTAGTGCTGCCGTGGTGTAGTGTTGCTGTGGTGTTGGTGTAGTGCTGCCGTGGTGTAGTGTTGCTGTGGTGTTGGTGTAGTGCTGCCGTGGTGTAGTGTTGCTGTGCTGCCGTGGTGTAGTGTTGCTGTGGTGTTGGTGTAGTGCTGCCGTGGTGAAGTGTTGCTGTGGTGTTGGTGTAGTGCTGCCGTGGTGTAGTGTTGCTGTGGTGTTGGTGTAGTGCTGCCGTGGTGTAGTGTTGCTGTGGTGTTGGTGTAGTGCTGCCGTGGTGAAGTGTTGCTGTGCTGCCGTGGTGTAGTGTTGCTGTGCTGCCGTGGTGTAGTGTTGCTGTGCTGCCGTGGTGTAGTGTTGCTGTGGTGTTGGTGTAGTGCTGCCGTGGTGAAGTGTTGCTGTGGTGTTGGTGTAGTGCTGCCGTGGTGTAGTGTTGTTGTGGTGTTGGTGTAGTGCTGCCGTGGTGTAGTGCTGCCGTGGTGTAGTGTTGCTGTGGTGTTGGTGTAGTGCTGCCGTGGTGTTGGTGTAGTGTTGCCGTGGTGAAGTGTTGCTGTGGTGTTGGTGTAGTGCTGCCGTGGTGTAGTGTTGCTGTGCTGCCGTGGTGTAGTGTTGCTGTGGTGTTGGTGTAGTGCTGCCGTGGTGTAGTGTTGCTGTGGTGTTGGTGTAGTGCTGCCGTGGTGTAGTGTTGCTGTGGTGTTGGTGTAGTGCTGCCGTGGTGTAGTGTTGCTGTGCTGCCGTGGTGAAGTGTTGCTGTGGTGTTGGTGTAGTGCTGCCGTGGTGTAGTGTTGCTGTGCTGCCGTGGTGTAGTGTTGCTGTGCTGCCGTGGTGTAGTGTTGCTGTGGTGTTGGTGTAGTGCTGCCGTGGTGAAGTGTTGCTGTGGTGTTGGTGTAGTGCTGCCGTGGTGTAGTGTTGCTGTGCTGCCGTGGTGTAGTGTTGCTGTGGTGTTGGTGTAGTGCTGCCGTGGTGTAGTGTTGCTGTGCTGCCGTGGTGTAGTGTTCCTGTGGTGTTGGTGTAGTGCTGCCGTGGTGTAGTGTTGCTGTGCTGCCGTGGTGTAGTGTTGCTGTGGTGTTGGTGTAGTGCTGCCGTGGTGAAGTGTTGCTGTGGTGTTGGTGTAGTGCTGCCGTGGTGTAGTGTTGCTGTGGTGTTGGTGTAGTGCTGCCGTTGTGAAGTGTTGCTGTGGTGTTGGTGTAGTGCTGCCGTGGTGTAGTGTTGCTGTGGTGTTGGTGTAGTGCTGCCGTGGTGTAGTGTTGCTGTGGTGTTGGTGTAGTGCTGCCGTGGTGTAGTGTTGCTGTGGTGTTGGTGTAGTGCTGCCGTGGTGAAGTGTTGCTGTGGTGTTGGTGTAGTGCTGCCGTGGTGTAGTGTTGCTGTGGTGTTGGTGTAGTGCTGCCGTGGTGTAGTGTTGCTGTGGTGTTGGTGTAGTGCTGCCGTGGTGTAGTGTTGCTGTGTTGCCGTGGTGTAGTGCTGCCGTGGTGTAGTGTTGCTGTGGTGTTGGTGTAGTGCTGCCGTGGTGTAGTGTTGCTGTGGTGTTGGTGTAGTGCTGCCGTGGTGTAGTGTTGCTGTGGTGTTGGTGTAGTGCTGCCGTGGTGTAGTGTTGCTGTGGTGTTGGTGTAGTGCTGCCGTGGTGTAGTGTTGCTGTGGTGTTGGTGTAGTGCTGCCGTGGTGTAGTGTTGCTGTGGTGTTGGTGTAGTGCTGCCGTGGTGTAGTGTTGCTGTGGTGTTGGTGTAGTGCTGCCGTGGTGAAGTGTTGCTGTGGTGTTGGTGTAGTGCTGCCGTGGTGTAGTGTTGCTGTGGTGTTGGTGTAGTGCTGCCGTGGTGAAGTGTTGCTGTGGTGTTGGTGTAGTGCTGCCGTGGTGTAGTGTTGCTGTGGTGTTGGTGTAGTGCTGCCGTGGTGTAGTGTTGCTGTGGTGTTGGTGGTGTAGTGTTGCTGTGCTGCCGTGGTGTAGTGTTGCTGTGCTGCCGTGGTGTAGTGTTGCTGTGGTGTTGGTGTAGTGCTGCCGTGGTGAAGTGTTGCTGTGGTGTTGGTGTAGTGCTGCCGTGGTGAAGTGTTGCTGTGGTGTTGGTGTAGTGCTGCCGTGGTGTAGTGTTGCTGTGCTGCCGTGGTGTAGTGTTGCTGTGGTGTTGGTGTAGTGCTGCCGTGGTGTAGTGTTGCTGTGGTGTTGGTGTAGTGCTGCCGTGGTGAAGTGTTGCTGTGGTGTTGGTGTAGTGCTGCCGTGGTGTAGTGTTGCTGTGCTGCCGTGGTGTAGTGTTGCTGTGGTGTTGGTGTAGTGCTGCCGTGGTGTAGTGTTGCTGTGGTGTTGGTGTAGTGCTGCCGTGGTGTAGTGTTGCTGTGGTGTTAGTGTAGTGCTGCCGTGGTGTAGTGTTGCTGTGGTGTTGGTGTAGTGTTGCTGTGGTGTTGGTGTAGTGCTGCCGTGGTGTAGTGTTGCTGTGGTGTTGGTGTAGTGCTGCCGTGGTGAAGTGTTGCTGTGGTGTTGGTGTAGTGCTGCCGTGGTGTAGTGTTGCTGTGGTGTTGGTGTAGTGCTGCCGTGGTGAAGTGTTGCTGTGGTGTTGGTGTAGTGCTGCCGTGGTGTAGTGTTGCTGTGGTGTTGGTGTAGTGCTGCCGTGGTGAAGTGTTGCTGTGGTGTTGGTGTAGTGCTGCCGTGGTGTAGTGTTGCTGTGGTGTTGGTGTAGTGCTGCCGTGGTGTAGTGTTGCTGTGGTGTTGGTGTAGTGTTGCTGTGGTGTTGGTGTAGTGCTGCCGTGGTGTAGTGTTGCTGTGCTGCCGTGGTGTAGTGTTGCTGTGGTGTTGGTGTAGTGCTGCCGTGGTGAAGTGTTGCTGTGGTGTTGGTGTAGTGCTGCCGTGGTGTAGTGTTGCTGTGGTGTTGGTGTAGTGCTGCCGTGGTGAAGTGTTGCTGTGGTGTTGGTGTAGTGCTGCCGTGGTGAAGTGTTGCTGTGGTGTTGGTGTAGTGCTGCCGTGGTGTAGTGTTGCTGTGGTGTTGGTGTAGTGCTGCCGTGGTGTAGTGTTGCTGTGGTGTTGGTGTAGTGCTGCCGTGGTGTAGTGTTGCTGTGGTGTTGGTGTAGTGCTGCCGTGGTGTAGTGTTGCTGTGGTGTTGGTGTTGTAGTGCTGCCGTGGTGTAGTGTTGCTGTGGTGTTGGTGTAGTGCTGCCGTGGTGTAGTGTTGCTGTGGTGTTGGTGTAGTGCTGTCGTGGTGTAGTGTTGCTGTGGTGTTGGTGTAGTGCTGCCGTGGTGAAGTGTTGCTGTGGTGTTGGTGTAGTGCTGCCGTGGTGTAGTGTTGCTGTGGTGTTGGTGTAGTGCTGCCGTGGTGAAGTGTTGCTGTGGTGTTGGTGTAGTGCTGCCGTGGTGTAGTGTTGCTGTGCTGCCGTGGTGTAGTGTTGCTGTGGTGTTGGTGTAGTGCTGCCGTGGTGAAGTGTTGCTGTGGTGTTGGTGTAGTGCTGCCGTGGTGTAGTGTTGCTGTGGTGTTGGTGTAGTGCTGCCGTGGTGTAGTGTTGCTGTGGTGTTGGTGTAGTGCTGCCGTGGTGTAGTGTTGCTGTGGTGTTGGTGTAGTGCTGCCGTGGTGTAGTGTTGCTGTGCTGCCGTGGTGTAGTGTTGCTGTGGTGTTGGTGTAGTGTTGCTGTGGTGTTGGTGTAGTGCTGCCGTGGTGAAGTGTTGCTGTGGTGTTGGTGTAGTGCTGCCGTGGTGTAGTGTTGCTGTGGTGTTGGTGTAGTGGTGCCGTGGTGTAGTGTTGCTGTGCTGCCGTGGTGTAGTGTTGCTGTGGTGTTGGTGTAGTGCTGCCGTGGTGAAGTGTTGCTGTGGTGTTGGTGTAGTGCTGCCGTGGTGTAGTGTTGCTGTGCTGCCGTGGTGTAGTGTTGCTGTGGTGTTGGTGTAGTGCTGCCGTGGTGTAGTGTTGCTGTGCTGCCGTGGTGTAGTGTTGCTGTGGTGTTGGTGTAGTGCTGCCGTGGTGAAGTGTTGCTGTGGTGTTGGTGTAGTGCTGCCGTGGTGTAGTGTTGCTGTGGTGTTGGTGTAGTGCTGCCGTGGTGTAGTGTTGCTGTGGTGTTGGTGTAGTGCTGCCGTGGTGTAGTGTTGCTGTGCTGCCGTGGTGTAGTGTTGCTGTGGTGTTGGTGTAGTGCTGCCGTGGTGTAGTGTTGCTGTGTTGCCGTGGTGTAGTGTTGCTGTGGTGTTGGTGTAGTGCTGCCGTGGTGAAGTGTTGCTGTGGTGTTGGTGTAGTGCTGCCGTGGTGTAGTGTTGCTGTGGTGTTGGTGTAGTGCTGCCGTTGTGAAGTGTTGCTGTGGTGTTGGTGTAGTGCTGCCGTGGTGTAGTGTTGCTGTGGTGTTGGTGTAGTGCTGCCGTGGTGTAGTGTTGCTGTGGTGTTGGTGTAGTGCTGCCGTGGTGTAGTGTTGCTGTGCTGCCGTGGTGAAGTGTTGCTGTGGTGTTGGTGTAGTGCTGCCGTGGTGAAGTGTTGCTGTGGTGTTGGTGTAGTGTTGCCGTGGTGTAGTGTTGCTGTGGTGTTGGTGTAGTGCTGCCGTGGTGAAGTGTTGCTGTGGTGTTGGTGTAGTGCTGCCGTGGTGTAGTGTTGCTGTGGTGTTGGTGTAGTGCTGCCGTGGTGTAGTGTTGCTGTGGTGTTGGTGTAGTGCTGCCGTGGTGTAGTGTTGCTGTGTTGCCGTGGTGAAGTGTTGCTGTGGTGTTGGTGTAGT